CTTTACATGCAGTAATGGTTTTATTTAGAACCATAGCATTCTGAAGAACCCTTTCATGCTGCAATGGTTCTTTGTGTTAGAGTTTAGGGTTCTTTATTCCCGCCCTTTGGTTTTTCAAATCTGTAACTGACAAAGCACGGCATACTGATTTTCTGGAGTTCAGTGATCCAACAGTGATCCAACTAATACCAACAGTGATAATAACTAATAAAAAGGTTCTATTTAGCACTAAAAAGGGTTCTGCTATTGTTACAAGCCGAAGAACCCTTTTCTGGTACTGTTTAGAACCATTTTTCTTAAGAGTGTGAGGTGAAATAAATGACTCCTTTTCATGTTTATGTAACCATAAATTTGTGTATTATCATGTACACTGTCTATATAATTTGAATCTCACAATACCCAGTAAAATCCACTTTGGAGACTTTACAGGGTATTCAATAGCTTTGATGTTGCACTGTCTGTGTTTACCGGCATAGAGCAGCTATCAATCTCTGAGCTGGCAGGTTTCAGCCAACCAGCACTTGAGAAATCCTCACATTGCAGAACATTCTACTCTAATTAGTTCATATTTCCCTCACCGTTCATCACTGTATGACATTAACATTAAACGTAACTGCTGTGCCCTGATTCTGAACCCCACAACAGAACAGAAACACACAATAATAAGTATCCACTCTCAAAAACATCCTGTGAGAAACACTGTCGAACGGTATTTTCCAGTCCATATCTCATGTTGTAAACTTGTTTAAAGAACATTTCAAACAACTGAAGTCGTAAGCAAGTCATGACACAAACATTAAACTCAGCTAACAGAGTAAAATCTGGTCCTGACATGTGTGTATCTGCACTATGACCTGAAAACACATCCTACAGCAAAAACCAACACATTCAAATCTTGTCATGAGGTGTGGTTCTATTTCGAGTTGGAGGAAAGACAAAACAATGATTCAGTATCCAAAACTGGAGTCTGACATTTATACAAACAACTAAAATGTCCTCGATCTAGGGGTTGGCAATTTGACGTTTTTATATGATTGATCCTGAAGACGTTGACGATCTACTTTTCAAGTGAATCGTAGAGATCGTGATCTTACGTCTTCATAAAAATGTTAAAACTACAGCAATAAATGCCTACTTGATGACTGTGACTGGCCAAATTATATCACGTGTCTCTATTATGTGTCTTGTGTGAAATTATGTGTGACGAATTTGAAAACAATTCAACGTGAGCTAGCAGTAGTAGTGCGATGATTTAAATCTTAGTTTCAGTTTCAATTTTAATAAAACGATCATTGTGCAACATGCCGTTCCTTTCATTTAGTTCCATTCAGCAGTGCGATTTCACCACTTTTTAAAAGCCCAACAACATCCAAATCGGTCAAAGCACGTAAAGTGACT